CTGCGCCAGGCCCACGACGGGGTTCGAATCCCAGATTCTAGCGTTGTAAGTCCGCAGACATACCGCTGTGCCACTGGGGGGCAGCCCTGATCTTGAGAGAACCAAGACTTACTGTAAAACTCCTGTCTGTGTTCTATATCCTTCAACTTGAGGATCATACACGTTTTGCTTTTATTTGTCAGCGTTTGTTTAAATAATAAATATTCATTTACCTTTCTTTCATTTTCACTTCACAACATAACAGTTTTATCACTAATTCACCAGCCTTTTGTATTCTTCCTTAGTTAATAAAGTTTCATTTTTATGTTGCCTTCTTTTATTCTACCACTACAAATCACTACACCTATCCACCCACATAATAAAGATCCTCGAATATCTAGTTGTTGCGGAGATTTGTGTAGTTTGTGCTTCATTTATCAAAGTTTTTATTGCGTACAAAACCGTAGGGCTACATATCAAATAAATTTTACTCATTTATATTTGCAATTACGGAAATTTCACTATATTGTTTTAATTGAGGCTGAAATACACACTGCTTGTGTGCGATTTAAATTTGGGATAGCAGTGATGAGCAAGGTGAGTGAAATTCTAAGTGCGCCAGAAGTGTTGGAAAACGATGACACTAATGTTTTCTTGCGCACTTATTCCAAGACACCTTTTCAAATACTTTTAGTTACTCTCCGCAAAAGAGCCTGTCTCACGTTTTACTCGAGTCCTATAAATTCTTATCAAAGTCTTTCAAATACAGCTTGCCAATACTTCATCTTTTATTGAATCTGATAGATTTTCCGTATCGATTGTTTGGTACATTTTCCGCCTAAATTCAAATTATTTCCACTGTTTAAATTCCTCCACTTGATGTGCTGACTTTTCATCTTGATCTAAAAGTGCTGACGGTCTTCTCCAGTCTTTTTTTCCTTATTACGATAGTGAAAACCTAACCGTGCCAAAAATCTTTTAGCAGAAAAGAAATATTGAATCACATGTGACCAAATATTGAGCCCATTGTGGCTATGTTTTCTCTGTTGACAAGTCATCGTGTGTAATAACCTTTCCTTATCGTTTTTGAAAAGGTCATATGTCTGCATTTGTACCGTACCTATTGCCACGAGCAAATGTCGCAACTTTGAGTCAATGTTTAGGAATTTAGCTGGGTCATCTAAATCAAATACACATATTCTTCCTCGCTCGACTTTAATTCCATCTAATTTTGGGGCCGGCTATTCGGGCAACTTGAATTACCTAAGAAATCTTTCACTCGTATAACTGTTCTGATAGCAGCCTTAAAGGGCGAGCATGTTTGGTGACGGGGATTCGAACCTAGGACCTGCAATTTGCGAATCGAGTGTCCTATCCACCAGGCCATGCCAGGCCTTCAAATCAAATACAAATGTATTTTCGTTTTCTGTCTGCTTCTCTTACTTAGTCATGAAAAGATGTGGTTTCTTTAATTTATGAGTAGCGTAGCCCGAATTTGTAGCACGGGTGCTTTCACCAGTGGTTTCTTTAATTTATGAGTAGCATAGCCAGAAGTTGTACCACTGGTACTTTCACCACTGGTTTCTTTAATTTATGAGTAGCGTAGCCAGAATTTGTAGCACAGGTGCTTTCACCAGTGGATTCTTTAATTTATGAGTAGCATAGTCAGAAGTTGTACCACTGGTACTTTCACCAGTGGTTTCTTTAATTTATGAGTAGCGTAGCCAGAAGTTGTACCACTGGTGCTTTCACCAGTGGTTTCTTTAATCTATGAGTAGCGTAGCCAGAAGTTGTACCACAGGTACTTTCACCAGTGGTTTCTTTGCTCTTCATCTTTATTTAATGCGTTACGTTTTAAATAGAGAAGAACGTCCGTTTATTTTTCTAAATCCTTCCTTTTCTTATATTTAAAATCAGAAATGCGGTCTTCTCCATCAGCCATTTTTTCTTAAGTTCACTGTTTAACCACTTTTATCGTTTTAATTATCACTTTTTTAACTATTTTGCATTCTTACAAGTAATAGTAACTTCCGATCAAAGTAAGCTGTGTACTTATAACAATATTTTTGCTTTGTATGTTTCGAAAACAACAAAAAACCTTGTAGCTATCGAGCTGTGCTTCACTTATATACCACAATAGCATGATTTTCAGAATTTTTTATACTATATTAAAAAATGAAACATTTTCATTCTGAGCGCTTCCTAAAACAAAACCGGTAAATTTCTACTATATAAAGACGGAAACCGGACTCTCAGTCCCTCTTCTATTGACCAGTTGCAGCAAACGTCATCAACCAGAAAAAAAAAAAACATAACACAATAGATTGTATTGTAAACGCACAGCAACCTTAACAAATGGCTTCATTGATAACATTGTATTAATTTGGGCGCCGTCGACGGTTGTGATTGCCTATTTTATAATGTAGCATGGACTATTTCAATATATATATTAGCGGTTATTTGCCGGACATGCAAGATTATTCTAGTACATATACTTCCAGGTATTTTCGCGCATTCGTAACATTTAGTTTTAACAATCTCTTAGTACTTTTACAAAATGCAACAGTTTATTTTTAAAAAACTAAAGTTAATATAATAGGAATCATTATATACGCACCTCTACGATTAGTCTTAAGTTGAGTTGTAGTGTAGCATAAAGTTCCATGTGATAAACTCTAATTACTGCGTTCTGCCAGGAAAATGTTTTATATACGTCAGTTCTATGCGTTTTAAAGAAGAGAAACAATAAGTTATTTCCCGAGAGACTTTAGGACTGACACCAATTTTTCGTCCGTGAAGGAGAAGTTTTGTATTTTATGATAACAACATCCGATTTGTCTACTCAAATCAAAGTTTCCCAGCATTCTAAGCAGAAACAGGAATCAACATATGTGTTCATGGGTACTTATATCATCACGCGGACATAGCGTCGGTACTCACTGGTGTGGCCTTAACCTGTATTTCCCTGGAGGTGGAACTGAAAGACTATATAGGCCATAACATGATGATCAATCAAGCACAAGAGAAAAAAGGAATGCGGCAGGTGGCGTAGTACCGGGAACCAGCTCATCTGAAGATTATTGGTAAGTTTGTATTTTGTTTCATTTATGAATTGTTCGTAGTCTTGTTAAAAATATTTTACTTTTCATATTTCTTATCCTTTCTTTGTATCTTACCAACAGTTCTCTATTCCATTATAGACATCTTGTAAGTATAGGTATGATATACTTTGTTTGTTTTAGAGCAAAGGCTATCTTCTGTGTCTACCGCGGGGAATAGAACCCCGTAATTTAGTTTTGTAGACTTACCGTTGTCCCATCTTTGTTTTATACACACACGCACAATAACAGTTTTACTTAAACACTTGCTGAACTGTTAAGTCTAACATTTTAAGAAAGCTGTTTGCTGAGTTATGCCATTTGTCGCACTTATAAATCATTTAAATGTAATTTTAAATCTCATTTTCATAGTTCAGTTTTTGTATTTGAATAAAGAAGTGTTTTGTTTCAACAACCTTCATGTTCTGGTTGTGAAATGTGGCCTGAATTAATGGACAAATGTAGTGTACGAGGGATGAAGAAATTGTTTACTAGCTAAGATTTACAACGAAAAGTATACAGTTACTTGTTTTGGTAACCGATATAAGCTGAGTTATCTAACTTGAGCACAAGCCTGCAAATTCCCATATCCCGTTGGCTTAATATAATAAGAGCATCAGAAGAATACCTTTCTTAGCATTTTATTACATCAAAATATGTGTATATACAAACAGGATAAAAAGTAGCCTGGTTCCTGTCATGTAACGGCACCTGGTGGATTAAATTCACCCAGCCACAAAATATTATATACGCGGCTACGGCATGTTTTAATGTAATAAAGCTATAAATTTCTTATTAATAAGTTCCCAATAATATATGGCTTTTATAAGGAAAGTTATTTAACTTATTTCGGTATGGAAGAGCTATTATTATTATTATACATCTCAACATGTATTTCAGACACGGTAGTTGCGAGAAAACCGAAATATTTAATATTTGTTTGTCATTCATTAGCACAACATTTCTCCAAGCGTTCAGTCAACATCACATGGGCTGTAACTATCGAATAAAAAATTACCACAGAAATACAGAATAGTTAGGTCGCAGAGTGGGTTGGGAGGAGGGTCTTTACTTGGGTGTACACTGTCACGATAAACGTGGATCATTTGTAGTACAGACAAAATAAAAAGTGCATTAGTGCCATGGAGTACAATATTAGCTTCATTGTCATAGAAGGGAAGCATGAAACCCATGAGGCTTTTTTTTTATACGACCCTCTCCAAGTGGGGAAGGTGGGAGGAGTTATCCCCAGAAAAGTTTTGAAAAATCTAGAATAATTTCTTGCGCTTTCCTAAATTTCAATAAGACAACTGCAATGGCATAATGGAAAAGCTTTTAATTTCTTTTGATAGGCTATTATTCATATAGCAAGTTTTAAAGCTGAGTAAGTAGATGGATAAGCCGGTTCATTAGAAAATAATTGTTATAAAATCTCTGTAGTTATATTGTAAACTGTTCACCCATAGGATTGTAAAGTTTTAGCAATTTTTCATGATGTCAGACCGAAACTTACGCTGCAGCCTGAGTTAGTTAGGATTTAGCTCAAATCAAATTATATATAGAGCTCTAATTATCTACACGTATGAGTGTCAGATGATTACCTTTCTTGGCTCGTATTGCTTTTTAATACTATGTTTCCTTGATTAAAAATACCCTTTAAAATCTGGAGGACTAACTTCCAATGTCTAAATTCCTACGCCTGTGTGTTTATATATATATATACTAAAAAATTATCTAAACAACGTAAAGACTATATTACATCTTGCTTCGTAAGCTGGGCGGGCTTCACATTTCATAATTTGCATATTTTGCAGTGCGGTTTCATTATTTACACGAACAAATTCGGATGGTAAATGCAGTTTGAAGCACATTACGGTTGGGCCAATTGCGGAAGGAAAAAAACAAAAGACTATATTGTATTTGTTTCATGGTTTGTTATTTGAAGTATAATCCCAGTCGTTAAACAAGGATTTATGTATTATACGTGCCGAGCCTAGCGACTAACCTATAAATTAAAGCACGGTTTGATCTTATCATGTTTACATCGTGGCGATATATTGTTCAAAGTATCTCTCATGGGAATAAATACATTTATGATGATGTCGAATTGCTTGTGTCATAAATGTCGAGATGATTGTGTTCTTGAAATAATACAGATTTGCTATATAACACAATGATCAATGGAAAAAATGAGAAAAAGAGGATCTGTATGTGACGTACATATTCATGCATTCAATCTACCCAAAAGGATTCAATATTTTACCGGTTTTATAAGACTGTTAGCTTGTTTTTACTGCTATGTTATCGTGCATTTTACAGAGTCTGTATTTATAACATCAGAAGAAACCACGAGTTCAAAATTGTAAACTTGGACATACTTATAAAACGAGTGAGTGAATTTATATTTAATGATGTCAAAAATAATATTAATATTTCCGACTCTTTGTGGTGGAGAAGAAAGAACTAACAGACGAGCATTAGTACTGGCCATCGCGCAGACCACGTGACTATTTAAAAGCTACTTGACATCCTGTGTATTTTAGGAAGGCAAACCTTTGTGCGCGTTGTAATGATGTTCTCCCAACTGCCTGCAGTCAGGCGGAAATCAGGACGAGGTTTTAAATGAAAGACATGCATAATGAAACAGAGATGTATGGTTTATTCGCTTTTCATGTTTTTTTATAAACTAGTTATAAAGTCCACAGTGTAGTCACACTGTAGTGATTTTATATTGAGGTGCTTGAAAGGTGTGGTCGTAACTGCATCACACACTTATTGTATATAATACTGATTTAGAAACTTTTTTAAATCGCTATTTAAGTTATTGTGTTTGTTTCTTTTAGTAATAAAGTAAAACTTAGTTGCTTAAAGTATATATAAGCACCTATAAAGAGCCGAAAGTCATAAAATGTTTAAACACATTTTATAATTAAATCATTTTTCACAGTATGTTAGCACTGAAAATTAATATTGTCTTTTTATGAAAGTATATTTGTTTTGGAATGTTTGTCTTGTTTAAGTGCGAAGCTGCACAGTGAGCTATCTTATCTAAGCTGTGCCACCACATGGATCTAACTCCGAATTTTAGCGTTATATCATTGACACGTTTAACTTACTTATCATTTTGGTATTCTATTTTTTATCTAATATATTATGTTACAATTTTAAAAAGTTGTGATGTAAGTTAACACATTGTGTTATTTCACAACACAAGTTATATTCCCCAAACACAGACTTGTATGAACTATACCGCGATTGATGTAGTTTACTGTTTTCTAACAACATAGATGATGTGCTGTTTTCCATTCAAAACACTGTTATTTTTTTTTTTTTTTTTTTTTTTTACAATGTAAGTCGGTTAATTAACTTTGATTACTGATAGTTATGGAACGTGTAATTTCAAAGGTAGTTAATTAAAACGTTATTTTCTTGCTAACATAAAAACTATGATTTTGGATGTGGCTGGTATATTTAATGATAAAGCTGTTCCCATATTATCTGTGTATGAAATTCACCTGCTGCCACATAGCGCTTGCCAATACAACACACCTGCGTTAGGGTGGTTCCCCAGATGTGCTTTATGCATAACATGTTTTAGTTTTACTTATTCTTTTGTATCCTTGCTTGAAAGCAGAGGTGAAGGTTCAGGATATTCTAACGGGATGTGCGAGCCTGCTAGTATCATACAGTTACTGAATACATGCCGCTTATACTGATCAGACATGACTAGGTATAGTTGGCGTTGCTTTAACTGTTAAATATTTGGACATGTGATCTCTTTCATAATTAACCATATTATAAAGATAATTTGAATTATGTTGCACCGTATTTTTATATTTTTACGTAATACATCGTATTGTTTCTTTCATACAGACTGATTCTACGGTAAATGGTCAAGAGGACTATGCAGTAACTGTGTAGTTTGATCTCTTCATACTGTTGAACGAAGATGTACCCAAGAAGTGTATGTGGTTGTCAAATCGTTAACTTCCAACGTTACAAAACGATTTATTCTATCTTGCTTATACTGCTGTGTATGTGACTGTTAAGAAATTACCATCATCAATCCCTGATGAACATTAAGCTTATATCTCTATATATTCATTGCCAGATTTACATGTTGTAATGAAAAAGAAATGTCTAAAGAGAAAGCATGGTATCCTGTTGTTTCTATAACTAATGACAAAGGAAAAAAGACTCCTTACCTTTCTAATAAGAGCGACGCAGGATCTGGACATTTTAAAGAGAAGAACCATGATAGACATGATTCAACTCTGTCTCCTAGAATTTCTTTTATTGGTCTACATTCTGAAGAAGAATCTGTAGCTGAAATTTCCAGGATGGAATCTTATGTGTCTAAGTGCATACAACAAGATCACCGTTATGTGTTTGGATCGAGGAAAAGCAAAATCCGAGGGATAAGTAATGAAAACAGTGGAACAAATATTCAGATGCAGGTCTTTGATAAAAAGGCTGGTGTAGATGTGAATCAAGTAAACAGTCATCGGCTAAAGAATTCGAAGTAAGGTCATCAAGTTTTATCCTTAGTTTGCTCCCTTACATATATCTAGCACAAAAATGATGAAGTAATTTCTACTTTTCGAAAGCGTTTGGGTTTCTTATTTTTGTCTTTAATTGATTTTTTGAACCAACGTGTTTTCTGAACATCATATACATCATCCTTTACACTTACTTATACTAGCTAGCACAGGAAGGATCATCAGAATACTTTCCATTATGGATAAGGTGTAAGAAATTATCAGATAAATTCAAAGTATTCTAATAATTAAATAGATTAGTTAAAGCACCATTAATAATTTTACAGTTCTTTGTGTATAGAAACTCCATCATCTTTTTGCATATGCAAAAAAAAACTTGTTAAAATACTTTTCCTCCGCTAATTTTTGACTTTTTCTACTCGAAGAAATATACTCATTTAAAGTCCAAGTGGCATACAAAAAGTGCTTACGTTGATAACTAAATGTATTTCATGTTTATCTAAAAAAAAATCCAATTACTAACTATTTTTTCTCCCATCTTTTGTCAACCCTTTATAGCTTCCAGCTATAATTATTAACAGATGAAAAAGATAAAGACTATTGTAACTGGGGGGGGGGGGGGGGTGTCATACGGAATCTCATATCATTTCGAAACAGCACTTGAAACCTTTCCATTACTAGCAAGTTATGGGAAGACATAAGACTTTTCGATCAAAAACGAAGTCTGTGGTGAGTATGTCCTCCAGTGGTTGTGGTGTAAAAAGAAATGATTACCTATGTGTGCGTCGGTCCTGACCCTCAAATAATAGGTGGGTGACTGCACTCCATAGTTAAAATATATATTACAATCTTAGATGCTATGTTTCGTCTGCTACTTAAATATCTCTCGAAAACCATCAGTGAAAGTGAAACCATGTGTTCTTATTGCTTTGATACTGAAAATGTATTGTTTTAAGGAACCGTATGAAGATGCTTTAAGAAGTTCTTAAAGTGTTATTATTCTATAAAAAAAATGAACTAGCTAACTGACGTCCTCAAAACTCGAGAAAAATAACAATAAACGACATTAATTTTAACATTTATTTTTAAAATGAGTTCAGTATTTTACTGTCACGGCGTATTATATAAAATCAAACATTAGCACTAATTTTGTTGATGTACAAGGACAGATTCATGCGAAAGAGTAGCTCTTATATTATGAAACCGGTTCTATATCACATAGTTAAAATGTAGTTGTGTTTACGACACACACACACATATATATAAAGTAATAACCTCTCCAGTTGAAGTCTCTTTGTTTATATTATCACCTTTAGATGTGAAGACTTGTTCTATCTATATTATTGCTATTAAATAATACGTTATCAGTAGATGATAATTGTTTGAAACACACCTTTAAATTAGTATCCGTTAATATTGTTGTTTCATGGCATGTAAAGCCAGAGAAAAATTCTAAGATTCTTCAAATCATTCAAGACGTACATACGTTATTTTACCTGTTTTCTAGCTCCAGTATCTTGTGGTGTTAGTGAAGTAGGTTATTGAATTTAAATTGTGTACTACTCTAAACAAAAGTTTAAAGTGTGAATATGCACAGTTATTTATGAGTTTCAGTTCAATTTAAGTTTGAGTTTTGATTCGCTAGAGTTTCTTTTTATTTATACATCTTGTTCAGTGTTGGAACTACATATTATGATAAAGATATTTGAAAAATTACCAGAATTAGACTTCAGATGCTCTTTTATACGCTATTCTAATCGACGCGTGGTTAACCCACATACACAATCTCGTCCACATCGAGAACAAACCTTGAGTACATGTGCACGAAATTCAACACAAAAAAAAATTATATTAAGGCTTAAATGTGAGAAAATTACGCGATAAAATTGTCGACAAAAAAGAACTTTGGCATAATATATAGCTCCAACAAGGAGCACGATGTAGGAATAAAAGAAACTGCCGTCATTAAAAAATTCTAGTTCGTTAGCGATAGAAATTCTTAGTATAGTTATTTGTAATAGTTTTTGTGTGTGTGTGTGTACAATAAAAACAATTTATTCTCTTTAGTATTACTTAAACTAGTCAAAACGATGAAGAATTGTGCAGTTTGTTTGTTTGCTGTTAAACACAAAGCTATACAATGAGCTATCTGTGCTGTGCCCATCATGAATATCGAAACCAGGTTTTTATTGTTATAAGTCTTCAAACTTGCCGCTGAGCCACTGGGGGAGGAATTATTAAATTAACAAACACAACCGCAAATGTATAATAACAACAATACACAACGTTCCAGCGAATGTCCTTGTTAAGGTGCTTGTAGTCAGTAAAGACAGATGTTTACTGAAAGTTTGTGTGATAAAGCTTTTATGTGTATTTTAAATCTGAGCTCGTTTTCGTATATGATTGAATAATTTAGTTAGAGCTACGTTTCAGAACATTGTCAAACCATTAAAATAAAGGTACTTACTGAAATGGTTACGTCAAAAAATTATAAAAAGTATGGTTTTTAACAGTTTTTAAAGTACATTAAACTTTGTTTGTATATGTAATTGGCATGCAGTTAAAAACTATTGCATACAAAACTTGTTACTTGTTATTGTAAGATATGTAGTTGCGCTATTTCATGATAACTATTTAAGGTGGGTGGGGGAGTAAAGCAATCTTGGGTGGATTACAATTCTATTGCCCATTCTTCCATGAAAAAACAATACATTTTAAACTGAGTTCTTGAAATTAGTTGGTCTATTGTATACAGCGTAATTAAGGAAGGCGATATAAAACATCCAATAAAGGTACATTAGTGCACAACTTTGATTTAATTATTATTGTAATACTGTATCTGTAATTAAAGTTAAATTAGAGTTTCTTTTCGGAGGAAAAAATCTGTGTCGACTTGACTGAGTAAAATGTTGGTAAATGCCCCTTACTCAAACTATCTTATTAATAAAAAACAGTTGAAAACTTTGGTAACGCGGAAGATAGGTAATTAAATTGATGCTGTGGTATCATTGTCACATGGTCCCATAAATCAGAAGAAACAATCGAAACGTAAGTCTGACCCTAGACTATATACAAGCGCAAATTTGTTCCGAGATCTTAAAATCAATAATTTTTATGAAATGGTTAAGTGGCAGATATTAGGTGTGGAAATAATATGAATATGTGGATTAGAAACAGTTGTTCATGATAAAATATTTATTGTAATTTGTGACTGTTCTTGTTTTAAAATTTTAATTTTCTCTTGTTAACAAAAAAAACAACAACAAAAACGGAATGCAATTAAGGTAGGTAAAACAGTTTCTGTATGAGTTCATTTTGTTTTCTCTGATTTGTATGTACATCACAAAGGACCATCTGTATATTCATCACAAAGGACCATCTGTATATTCATCACAAAGGGCCATTTGCATATACATCACAAAGGGCTAACTGTATATAATCACAAAGGGCCATTTCTATATACATCACAAAGGGCCAACTGTATATACATTACAAAGGGCCATCTGTACATACATCACAAAGGGCCGTCTGTATATACATCACAAAGGGCCATTTGTATATACATCACAAAGGGCCAACTGTATATACATTACAAAGGGCCAACTGTATATACATTACAAAGGGCCATTTGTATATACATCACAAAGGGCCAACTGTATATACATTACAAAGGGCCATCTATACATACATCACAAAGGGCCATCTGTATATACATCACAAAGGGTCATTTGTATATTCATCACAAAGGGCCATCTACCCCAGCCGTCCCTAATTTTGAACTGATAAATTGGAGTGAAGACAGTTAGTCAATAACACCTACCGTCTTCTTGTGGGCTACTTTTATTTCCGACAGAATACAGGGATTTCACCGTCACTCGTATAGCGCGCCCACGGCCCCAAAGTACAGGGTAAATTTTTGCAGCAATGGGCTATTAACTGTCAACCTTCAGATTCACAGTCCAAGCACGCTAAATATAAGTATAAAAAACACTTACAATATAATACTTTCTTAAAATTATATCTTCCTTATGACTCAAGCACGATGTTATGTCTACTTTGATATTCATCCTGCACTAAATATCACTGCCTACTGCAAATATAAATCATTTTGTACATTGATATAGTTTATTGAATAATAGTTTTACATGCAAATTAAAACCAAATGTAAAAATGTATGTTTAAATAAATTCTAATAAACAAAATGTGAAATATAATTTTAGTGTTAATACCTTTATATTTTGCCTTTTTGTAGCATATTGGATGGATTGTATAGAACAATGACTGTAGAAGGCGGAGAAAATTCGTCTCTCTCTCTCTGTCTCATTAGCTTCATCGCAGCGTGTAACACTCGCCTAATAGCTTCATCGCGGCGTGTAACACTCGCCTACTAGCTTCATCGCAGCGTGTAACACTCGCCTATAGCTTCATCGCAGCGTGTAACACTCGCTTAATAGCTTCATCGCGCGTGTAACACTCGCCTACTAGCTTCATCGCGGCGTGTAACACTCACCTAATAGCTTCATCGCGGCGTGTAACACTCGCCTACTAGCTTCATCGCAGCGTGTAACACTCGCCTAATAGCTTCATCGCGGCGTGTAACACTCGCCTAATAATATGTGGGCACATCTGATATGCAGCTTTATAGATAAGGAGGTTGTGGGTTCAACTTTCAGTAAGCCTACTTAATGTTACTTAAACTTAGACGAATCCTGTTGTAATATGATTAACCTGCCGAATATCGTTTTTGTTGTTTTTTGTTCAGTATAGTTTTGTGTATGGTCATACACATTCAGACACGCTGTTTTTTATATATTAGTGTAAATAATTGGAATCAGTAAGATATAATGCTGTAGTAAAAATAACTTGTGTAGTATTCACTTAACTTCATATATCCACTGTTCAGTAAATGTCGTTTCCTTAGGTCAGCACGTTTCACACTTTTTCATTCGACTGACAAATGAGCCAATAATCAAAGCTAACATAAGAAAGGGGCGGAGTAATATATTGAAGTAGTGTGCACCAC